GTGCATGTTCGCGAGAGTCCTAACCACTGTGTCAAAGAGTGTCAGGATATTTGGCCTAATCGATGTTGTTCTTATCGGCATCAGGAGTAATAAACTCGCCGGGTAGTCTCAGTGTACTTCCGAATACCATTACTTCAGGGGAACATTGGGCATCAGTTTTCACTGAAGTTCGGTCACCAGGCAGTTTCATAAGTAGGAACCTGTTTATTGAGTAAGCTGTGGTGAAATGTTAGTGCAGCCCTCAGTTGTCGGTGAAAGTGTCATATCACTCCTCCAGCTTGAGGGTGTTACGCTCTACAGTGAACTCCGTGTTCTAGAGGGACTTCTAAAAGTTTTCGGAAAGGTCTGACTCGAATTGAGCTCTTCTGTCAAATTTCGTTACCATGAGCATGGCTCCCCACTGAAGAAAATCTTTTGTAATTGTTTTTGCCTTGGCATCGGTAATTGGTGCAGATAACAGGGACATTGTTAACCTATCTATGCATGTCAGTAAGTCAATCCGCCTGAGTGTGGCAAAGGACCTCGCAAGTCCACATGAACATTGCGGAAACGATTGTTTCGTGGCGGCAGTGCCCCAAGGGTGAAAATGCTTGCTTATTTTTGCCCACTGGTATGCCATGCACTCCCTCGCCCACTTCTGCAGGTTGCATTGTAGGCTTAGCCAACTGCACCTTGTCAAGATTGTTTTGCTTGAGGCTTTTTCTCCAGGGTATGATAACTGGTGAAAGCTGATAAATGTAATTTTCCTCATAATTTTATGAGCGTAGGTCCTGGGTAAATATTTTGCCATTTCGCAGTATTTAAACTGGCCATTTACAACGGTTGGCAGTTATTCACGTTTGAGACAATACTTATTTGCAGTGAGGATGTGCTTTAGTCCTTCGTCGTTCTTTCAATTTTCAACCACTGCTTAAAAGCCCTTCGTGGTTTTTCGCATTGTATTCACGTTCATTCTGGATGGCGCACCAGCCAAACAATCCACTGCTTCCTTCACAAGATTTATATTGCTATTAAACTGCGATATAAAATCAAGAAGACGAATTTAAGTTGATGATTATTCGGCAGTTTTGACGTCGGGTGCTTATGAAAAAGTCTTGTGATCTGAGTTGGTCGTGGTTGGTCCGGCCTCTTACATGTGCCTAAAGTGTTCAACTGCGACGTATACCCTCTGTCAAAAGTAAAATGCCTTCTTTTTTGCAGGACAAAAACAATTTCAAAAACAGTTATCGGTTCTCAGCTATTTTTACAGTTGCTCCTACAGCTCGTGCATGTACCACCAATTCATGTCGAGGATATGGGTCTGGATATTGCAGTGTTGTGGCCATCATCAACTATTTTTACAGCTGTGCATTTGTGTCGGATGCCTCTCCTGGCACACAAAAGATTATGGTTTTCCCTCTTAATGCAGAAGTCGGGCACCGTATGGATTATGGGCGGTCAGAAACAAATAGGGAGTAGAAGCTGATCATTCCCAAAAGACTAGGTCCAAGGCTTCCTGGCGATTGCCTCCAACCATCTAATATCATCAAATCAATGTGCACCATGATGTCCAGCTACCTGTAATGGTGGCCATATCGCAAACCTGACTGATAAAATTCAGTCTGCACCAAAGAAAGGACTAGAAACGTCACACTAGTTGCTAGTGTCCAATCAAAATGCTCCATAGTTGTGCCAGGGAAGTGAGTAAAGGATACTGTTTGATAGTATACGACTCTTTGGGCATTGGTACGACCTCAGTGCAGTCAGTAACATACTCCGGGAACTCTACTGTCTCTGGCCTAGAAACGCCCTTGTTCTGATTGATATTCATGCCGTTGTCCTACAGTTTGCATAATACCCAGTGAATTTGATCCTCACGTGTGCTTGTGCCAGGGATGCCGATGAGAAATTCATCTATGCGCGCTCTGGTTGACAGTGTATCATGCAACAAGCCACCCGTAACCCTTTGAAAAGTTTGCTCAGTTTTCCGGAGACCAAATGGCATACAGTCCGAATGACATTGTAATATTCAATTTAGGTATATACCCTCGGACACTAGAATGCTGAGACAGGTGCAATATAAGTCCATTGGAGTGAGATTCAGCCGTTCCAAGTTTTAGATTGTTCGAGGCCTATCTGCTTGGCTTAGAAAAAGTGAGGGTGATGTGTCTAGACAGTATGGGTAATTTTTGGGCCGACCTTAGACGTTGGGGGTTGTTTACCATCAGAGATGGGAATTCCGTCAATATTTTCAAAAAACTTTCGGTCGATACTGAAATGAATCGGATCCCAAAAGTGGAGCCCGCTCGCTTTGCCGTTTATGTACAAGGAAATTGTGTGTCGGTGGCACAGCGATAGAGTGTTCTCCGACCACGCTTGTGGTTTGTGGTTCTATCCCCTGCCAACGCACTCCTTTACCATACTTAACTAGTAGCAAAACTGGTAAGGAGGGAAGGTTAAGCATGAGGCAAGCAGCCGCATCCCGGTAAATTAACACTGCTACCGAGACTTCAAAGTTCTAGCTTGAAAGTAAAGCAATGCAAATAAGAAATAGGAGGTTACTCTCATTGCTAAACGTCTCTTTGGAGTCTCCACTGATAAATCATCCGTTTTCAAGACGTTTGTGCCGCGAACTCCCACGTGTGCTTCAGTGCTAGTGAGGAACCATAGAAAATATAGCTCACATCCGATATCAAGTGTCAGTGTGTTCTGTGTGAAGATCGTGCCCGGGTTTTGTTGGCCGTCAGTAGAGTGACGAGGCACTTTACTAATCTCATTCCAGCCATTGCTTTTGGTATGAGACTGAGTGTGGTCCTTGTATCAACCAGGAGGTCAGTGTCGGAGTTTTTCCCTGACGTAGAACAGGTGACTGTCTAGGCATCATTTCCTGGCATTTGTTGTCCGAGAATGGGCGAAACGTTCCCCTGTGGCTTTTCAGACGGTTTTGGCCAAGTGCCTGGTTGTGTGCATTTCTTTGTATGTATGCAAAACCTCTAGTGATGCCAACAAAATTCGTCCGTTGATTAAGTTGTTTTGGGTCTACTCTTTGACGATAGGTGTGTCATATTGGGTGACTTACCTCTTCCGGACTTTGTAAGCTGTAATAGTGCTAGTCGTTCCGTCAGTGATCTAACGTTGGCCACCAGTCCTGAGATTATTTGTTCTATGTTCAAACTTACATTGCTCACCTGTCCATCTGTAAGTTATTTCATTTCCAAGATTTGACCAGCAACGAATGCTGAATGCCCAATGAAGGAGTAAAATCTTGTGCGCTCAGTTTATGTTGCTCATACCCCATGAGGACTTGCGTTCAACTTCGATTCAGTACAGCTTCTTTCTCCATGGTGTTCTTTAAAATCAGTTCTAGGTGGTGCAAGAACTGTGATGGGATCTGTCTCTCATATTTTCTCCTTATAACAACCGTCTAATCCCGTGGTTTTCAGATTCAGACAGGCATCTCATCACCTAGAGCTGAAGTTTATGCATGGTTGCTCGGGTGGAGAGCGGAGTACAAGTTCCCCACCCCCGTGTCACTACAATAAGGTGGCTGAGAAAACACCTTCCTTCACTCAGTAGTTTCAGACTTAAAGCTATGCCAGTCAGAGTGGTGCTGGTTCAGCGAATCTCAGTTCTGGATCATGTTGGTCAAATTCAGGCAATCTGACTTCAGTAGTTACTGAAAATAACCCAGTTTTGCAGAAATACAGTTTTCAAAGTCAGTTTCTATGTTTGGTGGATCGGAAGTCGTCAATATAAAATTTAAATTAAAAGGTGTGTCACTCTCGTCTCATAAACCGTTAATGCCCAGCTCTCGCTACGCTCGGGCCCACGCTGTTCCTTTGAGTTTCAGAAACGCTTAGTAATAACGGACGCAAAAACCAAAACACCGATCTGCCGCTTGTTATTTCTTTATTGTTACACCAACATATAAAAGGAATAAACGAACTAAGCAACTAAGTTCTGAAAACAAATATTACAATAATAAATCTCTGTATTACTTCTGACGATGTTTCACTCTTCTTTCTGAACAGCGACCGATGAGACGATGACTGTCGTATTGATGCCTCCGCTAAAATTGGGGAAGTTGATTTTGAGCAAGCAACCATGAATTGATCGTTCAATCTTCAACTCCATTGACAAGGTGTGTCAGGGTGGCAAATTATCTGGAAGACACTCAAAAGACAATAGCACACACATCGTAGTCGACTGAAATAAAAAGGGTTAAATGCTAGCGAAAGTGGCTCACCACTTCGGAAAACGACATTTCTGTCAAAGAATTTACCCATGTTATCGGCCGACAGCTTTTATTATTGTGGATGATTAATTTCATCCCTTAAACTTTGTTTGTGAAAATATGGTACTAAGCAAGTGGAGTGGGAAGTCTGGTGAAACACATGGAAGAAAATTTATCATTCAGGACATTAAGAAAGCCTAATCAACCATAAAGTTGCGGTTCTTACTTGGTTACTCGTCACGTCCTTCTGAATTTCCTAATCACTAAAGAGATTAGAGTGGCCATGACATAATATGCTACAGAGACCCAAACTATGCACTTATTCTGCTTTTAAGTAAGGACGCATATCCAGCTACAACCTGTCAAAAGGTGTGGGCACCTGATAACTTACATTTAGATAACACAATCGTTAAGGCCTTGAAAAGCATCTGAGAGACTTTTGTACAAGCAGTGAGTTTGGGTATGAGTGGTTTTGCAATTAAAAGTACTTTTGAGGCAGTTGGATGACTCTGGTTCTCACCAACACTGAACGCAGACACAATGTGAGGGAATTTCCTATTTTAGTTTTGCATTATCCAAGAAAATGCAAAGAGATATTCCCCTGTTCACTGCGCAAGATTTTCAGTCGATGTGGACGAACGACTGTAACGCAGACACATTAGCATATTATTAGAGCACTTAAATTTGCTTAATAAATAGATTTATATAACAAGAGTATATTTAAAAGACGTAAAAATTTAGTTACGTTCTCGAAAATAATGAAAATTGACAAAGAAGTTTGTTTCCATGATGAAATTAGTTAAAATGGTTAGCATGGCGCCCTAAATTGCTATTTGAAAATCTGAACAGCTGTTAACGTTATAATCACTTAGCGGAATGGCCCGTACTAAGCAGACAGCTAGGAAATCAACCGGAGGGAAAGCACCAAGAAAGCAGTTGGCAACGAAAGCAGCCCGAAAATCAGCTCCATCAACTGGAGGTGTTAAAAAGCCACATCGTTACAGGCCAGGTACTGTTGCTCTCCGTGAAATTCGAAGATATCAAAAGTCAACGGAATTGCTCATCCGGAAACTTCCTTTCCAGCGTCTAGTTAGAGAAATTGCGCAAGATTTCAAGACCGATCTGCGATTCCAAAGTGCTGCTGTAGGTGCTCTACAGGAAGCTAGTGAGGCGTATCTGGTCGGTCTTTTTGAAGACACTAACTTATGTGCAATCCATGCCAAGCGTGTTACGATTATGCCAAAGGACATACAGTTGGCTCGCAGAATTCGTGGTGAACGTGCTTAATCTTTTACTATGAAATTTCGCTTCTTTACACGTCTCTTTAATATGCATTTCAATGTAATTTCGTCATTATTCTGGCAGCATACTAATGTTCTTTAAATAATCCTATCACCACATTCCATTGTTCATCTTCTTCATAGTCTCTGGGTCATTGGTAAATCTGTCAAACGTGTGTTCGTTGGCCCGTTTAGCAGTTTAAAAAGCAATGTGGGTGAGTTCAGGTTGACAATAGATACGTCCCGAATTCTATTCGGTTTGCATGTGAATAAGATGTCAAAGAAGTTCCTGTTTAGGCATATCCACTTGTGTACCCTTTCCGAATGTCTTTTGCCTAAGACATCAATTGCGATCAATTTGGCGTATTTAGCGTTTCGTAAGTGAGTTTGATTTGACAAGTCCATGCGTACAAATGAACGTCATTCAGTTAGTCTCACATAGGTACATAACAGGACGTGCGTAGCTCGTAAATTAAGGGAGATGCTTTTATGCCACCAGATTGAATTGTTGTCGTTTACTTCATTGTGTATGAGCACTCGTTATGGGTCTTTGGTTCCCGAGCTCTCAGATAAGGTCATAATGCTCTACTTCCCCTTGATTTATGTAACTCATGAAATTCCGTTGGATAGGTTTTGGTCTTGACATTCCGAAGGCTAATGCTTTGCAAATACTATGCCTCGCTTCATGTCTATCTGTCTTGCCAGACTGAGTGCTGCGTCCTTACTGATTGTGCGAACTAATCTTAGTGAGCGATCAGCAGTCATTATGATATACAACTTGTGTGAGTTCGCATTGGTTTAGTCAAGTCATTGAGTGCTTTGTATGCTAATTTGTTGCTGCTGCTTTGGAACAGGCTAGCAGAATAATTGTACTAAATACTCACTGCCGTGGTAATGGCAGTGCAGCTGAGTTGTCATAGGTGTCCGCGTTTATGTGGTTAGGTGAAGGATCAATGGGCGTTATAAAAAATGCAGTTAATGACCGACCAGTGTTTTCTTTCAAACAGTTCTCTGCATGTGCATTTCATGCCAGTCACCGGAACCGTTCTTTCTCTGCGCTTAGTTAATATGTAAGTGTGTGCACTACGCATTTGCCTGCAGCTCATTTTGGTCAGTCGGCGTTTACGAAACAAGTTAGGTGCGTTGTGACGTCACAGGCTAGGGCAGACCTGTAGAGGGACTATTACGAGCAGCTTGGCTGGAACGGTGTACCACTATTCCCAAACTTTGGTGTTTAATTTAATGTCTGAATCTTGAATTCGGACGGCCTGAATGTGTTAAAATGACTAAATGACATCATAGCAGTTTCCACAGAAGTTTAGCAGTCCAAGTTGCCCCACTATGTATCACACAAATGAAGTTAGAAGGGATCCGAAAAACATGTAACAAGCAGAACTGTGAGTGCAAAAGATTAGTAACATGGGAAAACTATAGGGATATGCAGGTCACAAAAAGTGAATGCATCTGCTCAATTGAAAACGATTTCAAATGACATCAAGAAATGTCTTCAGCCATTAGTTCTTAGTATCCTGAGGACCTCAACCAAGAATTCTACACCTCCCTATATGGCTCAAACTAAGTGTCAATAATTTCATGAACTAATGCCAAGTTTTGGTTTGGCCACTACTAGCTCTTTCCCAACCTAATCCTATATCAACTAAAATTGGCCGTTGAAGTAAGCGATGACTATGCATGTACGACAGGTGTACTAGTCATCTCAATCGATATGGCTTCACAGCTTCGTACATTGATTTACCTCCTAACGTGTTTTGTTGATGAAACCAAATTGGTGACTGGTATTGCCTATCAACAATCCCTTTTGTCGCTCGCTATTTCCCGTGGTCGTTGTGAAGACATTTTGTTGGTTCCTGTGTCAGCAGCTCTAGCTCGTAATCGTACTAAAAGCCCACTGGAGTCGATCTTCTTGAGTATATCAGTCTTTGTTCCAGAAAGGGTGGCGGTCTATTACCAACCCTTACCAACGATAGCTAATCGTTAAGTGGTCTATATGAGTCTATCGTTGATTCGATGATGGAAGTCGCTAGGTCAGGCGAAGTCTTTCTTTTTGTTTGGAGTTAGCGCTGATCGGCAACAGGTGATTATTTTAACAGAACTATAGAAGACGATCGCAGTTGTCGGTTCGACGGTAGGTGACCTTTCCATGTGCCACCAACATACTTTTCACAGTGACACAACGTCTTAACCTGGACATTATAGTTCCCTGCGGAAAAGACCAAATCTGAGGGTTGTGCTTTTCGCCTCAAATTAGGCAGTTTGTAGTTGGACCCATCCGGACGGGAGTCGGCTAGTTCGAAAACGGAGATTATGAAAAGACGTTGACAGGCATCCGTTCAGACGGACAGCACACCTCCACCGATCTACTGCGATGCAATCTGGGTAGGGATTTTCCTAGACTAGCACGCAGTGTTATCCCTACACCTGCAAGTCATCACGAACTAGTCGAAGAATCTCTTGACTCACGTACGGTAAGCTTTGCCTATTCACTCTGTTAGCCAGGTGGGGTTAAGTGAATAAGCACACAGGTCTTCTATGCTTGTCGCCAAAAACACATACATCCATGGCTCGAGGTGCCAGTGTTCTGGCTGGTGATGCCTGTCGTCCGATTTATCGAAGGCTCTTGATGTAAAATGCTCCAATATGAAGTTGACAACAAGCCTTTAAGATACTGTCGGGGGTTTTCTGGCTGTGATCGCTACTTTTGGACACAAAATGAAAAGAAAATGCGGGAAAACCTGTAGAATAGTATTAAGAATAGTGGGAAAGCATGGTGATGGTGACGTAGGTGAGGGTGAGTGAGGATCAGGAGGGTTTCGTGGGCTACTGGATGTGCAGGTAGTTGTTATTTCCCAGCTGCCAACACTATGGATGAGTGAACATACTTTCGTTCGGACTGTATCTTGCACTTTTTATCCAGCACAAACATTGTTACATTGAGTTCTGCAGTAGGATTACCAAGCAAATAATTCCACTATTAAGCAACAATGACAACCTTAAGTATGTTCAGTAATCCAATCAACTTTCACTAGGACAACACTTTAAAAGTGCTCGTTGGAAACAATACGCACTCACCCAGCTTCATCACTAAGTCATTTTGAAGACGCAGATAGAAACTTTGGAAAAACAGGGTTCAATTGAATTTGAGATTTTCCCATCGATTGATTGGACTGAAGTGCTCGGTCTCAGGTTGACATGTCGGCTTCTTGTGCAGATGTTTCGACTATGTCTGGGCATTTAATTAGAATTTAATCTATGGATGGTGAGTAGCAGTGGAATCCAGGATGCTCATTTTGCCCTATTTGGGACTGGTCATCTGGATGTACCTGCATTTCCCAGTGAGTGATGATTTTCCCATCAGGGCACTGGGTTTGAGCCTCGGTGGGAACATCATCACTCACTGGGAAATGCAGGTACATCCAGATGACCAGTCCCAAATAGGACGAAATGAGCATCCTGGATTCCACTGCTACTCACCATCCACAAATTAAAAATGGGTTTAGTATGCTGCCAGACTTATTCTTCTGTAACATTCCATTTGTCAAACAACCCTATGTCCAATGTATGCTTCTACCTGAAATCCAGATATAATATGGGGCAACTTTTAACAATCCAGCAATTATAGTAGATTTGTAGAAGTGTTGATGAATAAATAGTTTCCTTTTAAGTATCCGACTAGTTAAAGGACCGATATTTCGACATTTTTCCAAATACATTTTTCTTGGTGCGTAGGCACAAGTTATTGTATGCCTACATCCTATAGCTTATGTGAAAAGTTTTAAGCGACGTCTGTTAAGATCACAAGAGCTACTAACCTTACAATGACGGGCACATATACTGATAAGAATTAGTTTCAAGAATATTTGTATTTCATTGCAAGCAGGTTTTTAATAATAGTTCCTTGAAATCGACTGAAAAATGATGCGTTACAAAGTGTTCTTCGGAAGTTACTATTACTTATTTATTAGTTAAAACAAGCAAGAAAGACAGGAGTTATCGAGTTCGTCAGATTTCTGTAGAACTCTTCAGCTGGATACTCTAAATAAAGAGATATATACACACCATTACAACTACACCAGAAGTTATAAGACTGGTAAGATATAAAGATTTGCGAAATAAATAATACTGATAATAATCGAAATGTCAACAGTAGTATTTACATAAAAATCAATAATAATAATGTTGAGACGAGTTAAAATCATGCCACTGATAATATACATAGTTCTAAATGAATCAGAAATAGTAGCAATAAAGGGTAGAATAAAATCATAATAACAGTTATTAAGTAAAACGTATCATCATGGTAGATTTAGAGTGACGACCATTTCCTTTTGTACACAGAGACGTGGTCTATAAATACCGATATCCATGCTGAAAATTCCATACTTCTACCAAAAATACAGTGTGGAATCAAGCTGTAAATCAAAAATAAAAAAAAATAATAATATCAGCTTTATTTCAAACAGTATTTGTGGTACAGGTATTGAATTTTCAGCGTGCATTACAATATATTGCATCTAATTACCTCATAAATTTTATAAGATTTTTAAAATCAAAAAGCAACACCCGCAAAAAAGATAAATAAAAAAATAATAAAAAGAACAGCGTTGCCTTTACATTTTAAACAATGCACCACAGGATATGAAATATAAAATTAGCGTGTAATAGATGACAAGAACAGTATAATAGTAACGAGGAAAGGAAAGCAAAAACTAATGGGACTATTTGTTAGAGTGCCACAACAAGTTTATCGTGTCATACCTAACGGATTTCTCATCACATAACAGCTGTGCCAGATATGGTATTGTGGAGTTTTTGTATTTGGTAGTCCTAGCATATAGCCGCCTATAGCTGCTTCTAGTTCTACCAGATGAAATGCAAGGAGAGAGCTGCGTATAGAGAGGATGCTCGGGGTCCGACAATATTGTATTCGCTAGTTTCTTACATGACATAATATGTCTATCCACAATAGTGTTAACCAGTTGGTTTAACGATATCCCACTTGCCCTACTAACAGCTTTTAGTGCCCTTCTCAGCGAAGCAAAGTCTTTCTTAAGTAGTCCAGGAAAGACTAATGGGGAGCAGTAAAGGAGGATGGGTAGAATACAA